TCCGTGAAGTTGGAGATGAGATTCTTTCAAATGAGAGGAGTCCGAGGTTTGATGACGGTCTTTGAGATAATGGCACATCTTTGAAATAACTATTAAGTGGGATGGGTAAGAGCCTGACCACGCCGCCCAAAAGAAAACCCACTGTCATGTAGCCAAGTCTGACTCAGAGCGGCTCGATGGTCAAATAAAAGGGTTCAGCGGCATCATGACTAACACTTAAACTTTTCACAGCGTAACCAAATGGCTCACTGCATGTAGACCAGTACTTCTGGAACTTCTTCAGTTCACTCCCTACCCAGCATGGGCAGCCGGTACTTGGTGGATGCTGTTCTTAACAAAGCTGCAGTGACTTTGATGGTATCTCAATTAATGAACACATCTCCATAAACGTTTGATTGGACCACAGCTATATGCAATGACAATGGCGACACCTTTGTGAGGGGATTCTGTGGCAACGTTTACTCCTGATTGCTTTCATGGGGCACTGCCTGCCCAGTTTCAGTCTCCCGTGATGAAGCCCCTTCTTCTGTCCCACCTCTCAAGTCTGAACTGCCTTCGGCTTCTGTCTTAAATTGGTATGTTAATGTAACGTTAGATGCTCACTCAGGGATTTCATCCGGTTCCATGGCTTTCAATATCTGGATCTCCTGGTAATTCTCAAGCATTATTCTCCAATGAATATCTGTTCAATATCTGGATCCCCTGGTAATTCTCAAGCATTATTCTCCAATGAGTATCTGTTCTCAGAGCTGTGGATTAACATACATAACTGCATAGGTGCCTTCTCCACTTGAAAGTTGATACCTTTTTCAAATATAATACTATGACTATTGATGGAACTCATAATTCCCACCCCAATGTTTACTTTATGTCAGTAAATTACATAATCAAGTAGCCACTCATTCAAGCCAGAGACGCATTAGATCTCAAATTATCCCATTCTTTCCAACTGCCCTAAAATCACAATGATCACCACAGTGCAACATAGTTAATCAACCTGAAATTTAGTTGCTTACTGCTTTATTATCTCTTATTGTTGTTCATGATTTTGTGAGTTGGCAAGAGCAGTGTTGCTTCAGGTGGTCTATCAGTTGCCTTGGTCGGGCCAGGCTGCATGGGAAACATCTACCTGGAACATGTTCGTATCAGGGGATACATTTGCACCAGTTGGACAGAAGCGAGGCCTAGTTGTTTGCTGAGTTTGGTGAGCAGTTGTTAAAATGACACTTCTAAGGTGGGTGGTTGAGCAGCCACCACCATCCATCTGCAAAATAGTATATTCTAAGTGCCCATAGCAACGTTCATTCTGTCCATAGGTATAAAAAAATTAGATGGAGTTAGGCTTACAATGGAAAATATTCTTAGAGAATTATTTTTTAATGTGTAGGTTTATTGAAGGCTGATGCCATCCTTGTAATAACTGCCATAGGACAGCCCATTGTGGCATCTGTGTCAGTTGGGTTTCTAAAGGTCTTGTTATTTTTCATTAACCTTCTACCCAAACATTGTGGGGCCTGCCCTATGGTCCTCTCAAGGCGTTGTCTGCTCCCGGCAGGAATATCATCCTCACAATTGGACATCCCCTCACAGAGGGGTCACAAGGAAGAGATGATCCAGTCAGGGTGCAGTATAGCACCGATGAAACACACAACTTTCCTCTAGCTTTTTGCTGCTTCCTCCCACCCACTTTCATGACCTCAATTTTACCTTATAAATCAGATTAGACCAGAACATGCACACTGCTACAGAGAAGAGCCCAAAACACAGGGAATCCAGGCTAGATAAACCCCTCAGGCCAACAATGAGAGTAGAGATAATAGGAGGATTAAGAAGTTGGGGGGAGAAAAGGGGAATTGATCACAAGGATCAACAGAGAACCCTCTCCCAGGGGGATGATAGCAGAAAAGTGGGTGAGGGGTGACAGAGGACAATGTAAGATATGAAAATAATAATCTATAACTTATCAAGGGTTCATGAGGGAGGGTGTGTGGGGGAGGGAGGACAAAGAAATGGGGAGCTGATATCAGGGGCTCAAGTGGGAAGAGAATGCTTTGAAAATGATAATGATGGCATATGGGCAAATGTGCTTGACACACTGGGTGAATGTATGGATTGTGATAAGAGATGTAAAAGCCCCCAATAAAAGTATTTTTTTTAAGTTACAGTCTCAGAAACCCACAGGGTAGTACCACCCTGTCCTATCGGGTCACTATGAGTCATAATCAACTCAAATATAGTGAATTTGAGGGATTTTGTTTGTTTTTAGTGGCATTTATGTATATTCAAAAGAGTAATAGACCTAAGGAATTCCAACCCCACACTACCACCATCAACAACCACCTCACACCCACACCCACCTTGCAGAGAGGATTCATTTACATTCTAGGACAAAGGTCTCTCTCTTTCTCTCTTATGGATAAATGTACCAAATGCCCTATAAAAATTACAAGATCAATACTTTAAGAGTTCCCCTTCTGTGGTCCTAACCTCCCTCTATATGCAGGTGACATTTTTTCCCTCCTGGATTTGCATCAAGGGAAGTTGGAGCAGGGAAAACTTGGCAAGATGCCTTGTGAAGAATTCAAAGTCTGTCTCTGGTCCAGAAACCTTAGCATGCCTCTCAGGATAATGATATATAGATATATAGATAGATGGCAGGACAGATAGATAGATGATAGATGACAAATGATAGGTGATAGATTGATAGCTAGATAGCTACCTAGCTAGCTAGCTAGCTAGATGATAGATAGATAGATAAATGGATAGAGATAGATAGATAGATAGATAGATAGATAGATAGATAGATAGATAGATAGATAGATAGATAGATAAAGTAGACAAACAAAATTTGAAACAAGAAGAACTCATTTCCATCACAAATTATCCAGACATGAGTTAAGAACTGAATTCCAGCCATTTATTTGTACCTTCTTAATGCCAGCAATTAATCTCATTGCCACCATAGCTGCTCTCCAAACTTGAGTATCTCTGAGGTTGAAGCTCTTCTCTGGGAAATTCTCAGTAACTCAAATGCATTCAATTTGTAGCTACGCCTAATGGCTAACTCTGTCACTTCACCATCCTCCATGCTTGTTCCACGTGCCCTCTCCCCAGTGTACGGATGCATGCTCCGTTATAGACTCCATTGGAAGACCTCAACACTCTCCCCACGGTGCTCAGAGCTGGGTGCCTACTGAACCCACTAGCACTAACTTCTACTGCAAGTTTCTCTGTTGAGGGACTCCTTATGAAGACCGCATTAAAAGCACCCATTCATCCCATTATGAATCACATCATACAGAGTATGATATCCTTATACACTTAAGGTGAAAAGTATGTACTGGTGAGTCGCGAGACAGTTGGCTTCTTCATAGATGATCATGAATAAGTCATTTAGTGCGGTGGAGTGAAATCCCTTAATGTGGCTCTTTTACCCAAGTCTCTCTAACTCTCACCAAATGATTGGGTCGAATTATGCAAAACAGGGTGTGCCTAACACCAACAGAGGGGATTGGAAAGTTTTCATCATCACTCCCCATCTTTGAGCCATCTTTGAAGTAGCCACAGAGAGAAAAAGCCCATGTCTGTCAGAAGAGAATGTTCCTGAGCTCTACCTCAAGTGGTGGAGGCTGAGACCAGAGGCACCAAAGACCGTGGCTACTGGCTGAGGAGAGGTGTTGCTGTGGACCAATAACCATATCCTAAATATTTAGGATATTTAAGACCAATATTTAGGATCAATAACTGTATGTAGGACCAAATATTTAGGACTAATAATTGTATCCTAAATATTTACGGATCCTGACCTGTGGTAACCTACTAAATTCCCTAATAAATCATGATCACTGTGAGTCTGTTCTAAGTTCTATATGGCCACTGTAATGAAAGAACCAGGAGAGGAACTGGTGGTATCAGGATAGGTAAGGAGGATGGAGCATAAAGGCATATCTGGCCTCCACCTCTTCACAATAGGGAAGACATTGCATTTAGCCTCTCTGAACTTCTGTTTCCTCATTCTTAAGATTGTTGTAGGATATTTAAAATGACATTTTAGTCATAAAATAAATGTATGAACCAAGATAAGTTAAAAGTAGTACTCTTAGGATTCTAGTTTATACATGTCTAGGTTTGTTCCACACTAAACATACTTAAACATGTCTATCATCCATGGATAGATGCCTACATGGTTTCTCAGTAATATAATTGTCTTCATCTCATTAGGATTTCATCAAAAATAAAAGGCCCAATGAAAATAGTGTTTTCTAAGTGGATCTGCTGGGCCAACTAAACTCAAAGCAGTACGGTCAGTACGGAAGGTTAGGGTGATTGCTTTATAGAAAATCTTGGTAGATTTTCTCAGAGGACATAGGGTGAATGTGAGGGCTTATTATGAAACAGTATGAAGAAAATGGAAAACTGCACTGGGGAGGAAAAAACCAGGAAAGTAGCATTTTTACCCCCCATGACAATACACCTGATTATACTTTGAGGGTAGTGAAGGATCTCCTAGATTTTTATTGGAAAATCTGAGCCCATCCATTCTACAGTCCTGATATCTCTTCCACTCACAAAACTCAAAGAAAATTTTAAAAGGACACAATTTAAGTCTCTGGAGGATGCCTAAACTACTCTTTTGACATAGTGTAAATCAGAAAGCATCGAATTCTTCAGGGAAAGGTGACCCCAAACCGAAACTAAATCCTTGTCACCAAGTCCATTCTGACTCATAATGACCCTGTAGGATCCAGTAGAACTGCCCCTGTGGGTTTCTGAGATTGTAACTCTTTAGGGGAGCAGAAAGCCTCATCTTTCTCCCTGGACAAGGGCTGGAGAGAGGGAAACAGTGCCATCAGAAGTGTACACATAGATACAATATATGATGAGAGACAATTGAGGTAAATAACACGGAGTTGGACATATTGGCCTCTCTGGCTTCCCTGTTGCCATAAGACTGGCAACAACAAGACTTCTTTACATAGTCTAACACCTACTGTTCCTACCACGCCATTCACCATCCATGCTGGGTTCAGCCACCTCGTAGCCACATTCCTCTCTAGTTGTTTGCCTCTCAGCCATGTAGTCCCTTGGCTTTTGCCTCCATGGGCCAGCACAGCCCACCTGTCACTCTCTTCCACAGTTCCAGAGTCTCGAGTCAGATGAGAGGAAGGGACCCCCACAGACTCGGTGCTGCTCCTCAGCCTCCATGCCACAGTCCGGGATGCAGCTGGTCCTGGCAGCGTATGCCACTTCAGCTAGAGAGCTTGACTATCCTCTTCCAAAGTGGTCCTGAGATTTCTCTCTTCCCTACTGTGCTTCAAAGATGGCTCATCAAAGATGGCTCACACCACATATAGGCAGGTGGTAGTGGAAACTGGCCCGTCTCTATTTGCATAGTCCCACCCAACCATTTGGTGGGAGTTACAGAGACTGGTGTAGAAGAGCCATATTAAGAAATTTCACTTTACCACCACAACAGCTTCACACGTTAAAGTTTTTTATTTAATATAGATTTCTATGATTCTGTAGCATTACTTTTTACTTCTCATCATATTAAAACAGCAATGAGATACCAACAATACACGTATTCTAATGGCTACCGTGCAAAACACAGACCAAATGTTGATGAGTACATGGAGAAACCTAAACTCATTCATTGCTAGGAAACACAAAATGGTTCAATCATTTTGGAAGACAACCTGGAAGTTTCTGACAAAACTATGTATCAACAAAAACCCTCACTGCCACCCAGTAAATTCCAACTCATAGAAGCCCTGTAGGACAGAGGAGAATTGCTCTGGTGAATTTCTGAGACTATAAAATATTTACAGAAGTAGAAAACTTCCTCCTCCTGAGAAGTGGCTGGCTTTGAACTTCTAACATTCCTGTTAGCAGCCCAATGCATCACCCACTACTTTTACCATATGGGTATTTACCCAAGTGAATTTAAAAAGTGCAAGTACTCAGAAATCTATATGTAGGTGTGTGTGTGTGTGTGTGTGTGTGTGTGTGTAATTTCATTTTGAAATCTCAGAGAACTCAGGGCTCAAGTGAATGCTGTCAGAGCAAAGCTGGGAAGAAAGTAATCACCAGAGGTGGATGGTGGATGACAGATAGAGATGCAAATCAATGTAATGACCAAAATGAATTAAAATCTATGTATTGGGGGGCCGGTGAGAAGTATCGGTGGAGAAGTCTAAATTACCATGGTCCTTGATCATAATCATTTAGCAACTTCGACAGAGCAGGAAGGATATTCATTTATGCTTTGCTCCTTGGAGCAGAGAGTCGCACGATGAGAGGGGTGGAATTACGAGAGCAGGGTTGCCAAGCATGGAATGTGGTAACGGGTAACTCTAAAGCATTAGGGAGTGTTTGCAGATGAAGGTTGTTTTTATTTCTTTATTTATTGTCACATTAATCATGCTGCATCTTGCAATGGTGTTGTCATTTTTCTTGCATGCACACACTGAATTATTGAGCAGCGCTATGCAATGTGTCTCACACGCTCCGGCACTTCCATTTCATACTTCACAGTTTTAGTGTCACTTTGAGGTTGAAATGCTCACAGTTAGTGCTATATGTGGGTGCCAAAAATATATCAGCTTATAGTGCTATAAGAAACTATGGTAAAGATAAAAAGAATTAAAGTCAAGTGGGAATTTTAATCCCATTAACATTCAGAATTTTATCAAGAAACAATTTACTCCTATTAAAATCTAATTTATGCTCTGCAGATGCATATATGCACGGAATTATTTTTCATACCACATAGTTTTCATATCTTTAAATATAAACTTTCATTGTTGTAGATATGAATTTATAATTATATATCACTTATATCTATAATTATCTTTAAGTCTACAGTTAACTACATCAATAAGGAAATTTAAAACACCATATTTCTTTTCTAGCCTCATAACTTGCTTTCTCAACCTGTGGGTCGTGACCCCTTTGGGGGCTGAATGACCCTTTCACAGGGTCAACTAATATAAGGTCACTGTGAGTCAGAATCAGGACAATGGCATGCTTTGTTTCGGTTGGGTTTTCCTTCGGACACACTAGTCATAAGAAAGATATTGCTCTCCACTCAACATAACCTATAGTTTATACATACCTTTATATCTGGCTTAGGGACTGAAGAGACATTTCACTATCGATAGATGGAATTATGACTTAACATGAACTTTCTAATTTATTTCTCTAACATACATAGATATAATTCTAGTCCTTCAGAAAATATTATGATATTCTTTTGGTCTTATCACATGGTTTTCCTAAATATTCTACTAAATAGAATTGTTGGAAAATGAAGTTATGACCTTTACATCCCCAACGATCTCTTTTTCTGAATTTTTATTATGTTTCAAGTCCATTTAAAAGAACATTGCATTTATTCTCTACTATTCATTTTGACTTCTCCAAGAAAAGAGGGGAAAGCCCAACAAACAAACAAAAAAGGTATTTTTTACCTTTGTATGCCCCATGTCACTTAGAATGAGCATAACAGTAAACATACTCAATTATTGATTGGTGTCTAAGAACCTTTCTGCCAAATACATTGCTGCATGTCAAGTCTGATCTTCCCTTTTCATTGAAAAAAAAATTGTAACGTGTCAAGATGAAGAAAAAAGAACATAGGGAACTAGAATTTTGGAAATCTGGTTTCAGTCCTGGTAGATGTCATAAACTAGCTTTGTGACCTGAACAAGTCACAAAATCTGCTTAGTTCCCTTTCAGCATAATAATAGTGAGTTGGAGTTGAGCAGTTGGCAGCTCATATCATACTTAGCGCTAAAAGTCTAGAAGACACAGCAACATTTAAAGATACAGTACATCTTTTAAAACTGTGATTCAAGGCAGGTCATCCAGAAATAGTCGGAAGGCCAGCTCTAGCGGCAGTCATGAATGTGAGGAAGATACACTGCTGAATAACGGTTGAGTCACAAGTGTCTACATGAGTGTAGTGTCTCCAGCTTATCACGGACTCCATTCCTCCCTCTGTCCACACCTGCTATTTCACACACGTCTGTCACCTGCAAGACTTAAAGGAGCCTCTGAGTTGGTACCTCATGATTTAAAACAACTATAAATGCTTTCATTGCAATAACTAGATGGATGACTGTGTGTGGAAAACAGAAATACTCTCGTTTCAAAACAGAACATCAGAACTTAATGAAAAGGCACTAAGCCTCTATCAATTTCCTAGAGCTCGTTTACTTTCAGGATGCAATGTATTGCAGTGACAAGAACACTGAATTGTGGACACAAATAAAAGCAGATTCTAGTCATGCCTTTACCACTAATAAGACCTGTGACCTTGGGTAGCAATTTACTAGGCTTCATGGAGCCCTGCTTTCTTATTTGTAAGATAGAGAAGGATAGTTAGACCTAATCATGTCTACAACGCTCCAATTCTATGAAAAACAGAAACAACATTCAGTTGGCCCTAGTTCCTAGAATTTTGTGAATGCTATGGACCTTTGAAAATAAACAGAGTTTCTAAGCTAAGTAAAGGAGAGGATTAAAGAAGACAGTAGACCAATAATCAGAAGGCAGCAGGAGAGTCACCAAAGGCTGTGCTTATTTCCCGAAATGTAAACAACCATATATCAACAAATGGAAAAGGCCCTCACTAAAATCCAGTGCCTAGATGATCTGAAAATCATTCAGCAGTAAGGTAGAGTCCAATGGCAGTAACATTATGGTATGAATTAAGAACACTGGCTTGTAGTGTCTATTCTACCATTTACTTTGTGATTTTAGCCTCTTGTTCAATCATAGAAGCTCAACTTCTTCATTGATTAAAAAAGAACAACATCAAGCAACCAGAAAGAGTAGCACCATAAGCCTGAAAATATATGTGCAAAGAGTTTATGCGGCTTACAATAGACCTATATCTTTTATAAAGTTTATGAGTTTTTCTGTATTAAAGAGGCCCTCCACCATGAGCCTTGAGCAATTCTGACAACCAAGACCTGCCAGACTCAAGTCACTCCCTAACTAGGCCATTTCTCTGGGTTGTGTTTATAGCAAGTACCCTCCAGAGTGGGAAAGCAGTGGTTCGGTGGTAGAAATCATTGCTTACATTAAGGAGACTGTGTCAGGTTGTGTTCTCTAGTGAAGCAAAACCAGTGATGCTTGTATATATGTGTATAGAGAAGGAGATTGGTACCAAGAAGTGGCTTGCACACTTGCAGAAGTAGGTAAGGCTGGTTGAGTTCCAGTCGGTAGGTCAGATGTAAGCTGGAGGCTTCTTCTAACTTGTATAGCTTCGGAAGCTGACAACCAGGAAGCAGACTGATGAAGCAGGAAGGCCACAGACTGGTGGATGCAGAGGTCCATGAATCCGAGGCCAGCCAAATGAATCTGAGGTCAGTAGTATGCAGAAGACTCCAGGGATTGGCATGTGCCGATCCCGATCCAGTAGAAGGCGAAGGGGCAAAATGGCTTACTTCTGCTTCCGGCCTCTCTCATATAAACATCACATCCCCAAGGAGAGATCATTAGGTTACAACATGTTTTCCCCCTGAGTATTTGGTTAATGTAAAATCTAACCATCACCTACTCACCTTCGTCAGCTTGACAGATGCATGCACTCTTTAACCCTAAAACCTCCAAACACAGACAATAAGACCAGACTGTATCTAACATGATATGACCAACACACATAAAAACAAAAATGCATTAACCCCATTTTAATCTTATTATTTTATGTGAACAAAACAAAAATATTTGATGCACACATACAAATAGCACAAACAGTCCTCCCTTCTGCAGCTGGTCCTGTGACCATAGATGGTGTGTCGAACTGTCTCCTTCCACTCCCCATTATGTGTTTCCTTTGCCCTCAGCAAGTATCTCCGCTGGTTGTTGTTTGCCTGATGGCATGGCCCAAACTTTCACTTATGAAAATCTGGGCTACTAGTATTCTTGTATGAATTGGGGTTCTATAATTTACCATTGACTTTAATCACAGGATATGGCAGTCATATGAAATGACCTAAGGAATCTTCTGGACTCCAGAAAATACTGTTCTTTACCTCTATTATGCAACACTAATCCACTTTCCCTTTGAT